ACTCCTAGCTCATCACCACCAAGGGTCAGCACTGGAGTTGGCCCCTGACAACCTTGGAGAAAGGTTTTATATTTTGAGGAGGCGAAGCGAAGCTTAAAACCATTGAAAGCCAGTGCTAATCGGTCCAGTGCTGCATGGCAAGTTTGGGAGCCGTCACAGATTAGGACAGTGTCGCCAGCACACTCCAAGTCAAGAAGTCGTTCACTAAGAAGCAACTCTAGACCTTGTAGGTCATGTCCAGTGAATGTTGTTTCCATGACTTCGTTAACGGCGAAGTTAGAGAAAGGGTAACAAGGAGCAAGCTTGTCCCACACCGCAGGAGATATTGAAGTACGGCGATAGTTTGCGTTAAACCCACACTCTGCCTGAGCTATGCACGTACACCGAGCTGATAATGTTTACGTATTTATCTGGCATACTATTCCTTAGCAGACAATCCAAAGAACCAATCGATTCACCTAATGGAGGCACCTTTGATTTTGAGGTATACAACGGTGGGCTGCCGATATATGTGACGGTGCACAAACAATTGACGCAAAGTAAAGAGGTGGTTGATGTAATCACGATTTCGACGAAACCCGGCCTGCTCCTTATGAATCTGACTTTCACGAGTGACAATCAGTCTGTGGAGAACGCCAAACACAAGATATTGAGAGACAATTGAAAGTAGACAGATTCCTCTTTGATTGCCGCATCCTGAAAGGGAGCGTCCCTTTGAAAAGCAGGACTATGACAGGGCGGCTCCAGTCTGTCGGGATAGTCTCCTGCTCCCACAGCTTAACTAGTAAATTGTGCAAATGGTCTATAACAGCAGGTCCCCCGAATTTAAAGTGGGATTGATTAAACCTTTGCGAAGTGTTTGGCCCAATGCTCGAAGTGTTTTAACAAGTTGTGGATCAACTGTCCACTCTCGTCGTGCATGCTCCGGCTAACACCACGTCACCTGCTGCCCGTTCCCCGAAACAAACGTGACGGCCACTTCCATATCCGACGCATGATGATGCTCAATGGATCAATGAGACACACAAACCATAACACCACGTTAAAGCCCAGTCTCGTCACGATGGACAACCCGCCGACTTTTGTGTTAGGATAGGACCAAACTAACGCAAATAAAGCCCTGGGTACGGAAAACCCAAAACTAGAAGGCGTCACGAAACTGTGAACGAACTTTGTGACTGCGCATCGAAAACTGACAAACAGCATGTGCCGAATCGAGTGCGCAGCTGACTGCAGGTCGCAATGTACAGAGTTGAGAAGTTCCCAACAAACACATGAAAGTTGTGGTTATTTTGCACAACAAAAGATCGTTCTAGTCGCCTGGCTGACAAACACATGCAACTTCTGCGAAGCATTTCCACATATAAAATCGCACGTCTCATAGTTGTCTGTCCGGAGTATCTTGTCCGGTTTGGTGTTCACTTCATCAATAGAGTCCGCTCGTCTATTATCGCGCGTTCTGGTATACCACCGCGCAGAAACAGCACACAAAAGACATAATCATGTACTAATACAACACCAACAAGCACAGGGAGAAGCGCACACGAAGCTGATGGAATCGCTGGCGCGGCGATTGAACGTTCATTCCGAAACAACTCTTCCATGAAGCCGAAATGTGTGCTATTGACGTTCTGTGCAACACGATCACAGAAGTTAGTGATGCCCCGGATTAGGACTGCACTTTCAGAGCGTAGTTCGAACAATGGGAGGATTTATTCCGAAGAGACTTCAGCCGTCAGGATAACTCCTTGAAAATTCGGATCCTCCCCAGAAAAATGTTAACGAATGAGCACACGAGGTTTCTCGATCACATCATGACGAAACAACGTAGAGGCCTTACCTTCGATAAAGCAGTCTTCCAAGCTTCGGAAATAATCGGTAATTCGGTCTCACTATTTAGTGTAAGTTTACAATGCCTGAACTTAGTTAAACGCGATAGGGAAGATTCTGAAACATCAGCAGACCCTGTCAGCTGTGAATTCGAAAGTTTCAAGTTAAATTTGTTAACAGATGTCTGGTATGCGTACGCGCGTTACAGTCTCCAGAGTAAGCAAAAATAAGCACGCGCCTTCTAATCAAATTGGATCAGTATCCGGACAAGACGCTTAATTCTCTTGCGGCTGAGTGCAAGCGCATTTTAACCTTAAAACAGGACATCGCCCATAATGAACAGAATGCTCAAATGGGAGAAACGAAGGCGAAATACAGTGACCAGGCGTCTAAGGTAAGCATCTACTAAACCGCCTACTACAAGTTGGTCATGTGGAGAATGGCATTTCACACGCTTTTGTCCATTCAAGCGGCAGATTTGCCAAAAATGCAACAAAGAAGAGTATTGCGCCAGGTCTCGACCAAAACATAGGAAGTGACAGACATCTGTCCATAGGGACCGTAGAAAATTCATGGACAAATCCTTACCCGTCCAAGTTGTATTTCAGACTAAGTTTGTGTCTTGCAGAAGGTTCAGTACGGTGTTAATGGATGGTACGATAACGCGTTCACAACTTGATATGGCCACCGACACTACGATAGTCACGAAAAGTACCTGGAATCGTGTAAAAAACCAAAGCTGATTTCGAATAACAAAGTAGTCAACAATGTTTTTGTAGGTGTGCCAAATCGTACTGCAGTTCAATTGAGAAACCTCATCTAACGTTCTTCATAATACGGGAATGTGCAACCTAACAGACCAACCCGAATTTAAGGTGCTGGGAATTGATTGGATTGAGAAATTGGGACTATTTGACATCCCGTTAAACCGGATGTGTAGTTAGCTTCGAACGCACAAATGATACTTCAATGGAACTAGATGTTAATTTTGTTGTAAATGATGTCACACGCGTCCTTTCGGGTACCCCAGACGCACTTCGTCATGTTATAGCCTCCAAAGTACCTCGAAAACCGGAATCTAACAAACTGTGGGGTGTGAACAAAGAAACGTTGCTGGGCTCATCAACGGTAGCAACTTTCTTGTCGTCAATGACTCATACAACAAGTAGTCGGAGGTATTCCACACGAAAGACACTACGGTAGAAACCGCAGTACAACCGATTCGGTCACCTAGAAAAACACTGGTATGCGACAACGGCGCATAATTCACATCAGCGTGTTTCTCGAACTTTTGTAAGACTTGTGCTACCAGTCACGAGCATACACATTGTCTGTTCCCTTACAATCCAGTGATCAGGTTGAAGGTTTCGTAGATGAGTTTAAGCGCGGCATACTGCAATCAACAGTGGGGGTACGACGCTGGAAACCATTGGAAGACCCTGATTTCTCTATCGAGTTACACCAAGTCTACAAACATCAAACGTGATTTCCATAGCAGAGACCCTGATGAATCGTAAACTAAGAACACTTGAATACATTCCGACCATCAATGTAGGCTCCGACGAAGGAAAAAAAAGGTGCTATGGGCAACAGTCCTGTGAACATCGTGAAATAAGACAGCGAAGATTCACATACGGTCAACTACTCCTCGCACGTGAGTATCACGATAGCCAACCGAAGTAGACCACAAAAAAGTTACCGGCCGGCGACCTGAGGTCATTTCCGAGGTACGAGTAGCACCACAAGTACGGGTTCGCTACAAGAATCAGTTACGACTAATGTATGGTATGTCTAAAAATAGAGGAGACACAAACTACCCTTCGATATACTGATTGATTTTCTACAGGGTGTTTTAATAATTACGACAAAAACTAGAAGCGGCTGCGCTCATGGGCTGAGGTACCCCGGCACGCTGAATTCCCAACTGTCCAATGGCGCAAATTTTTTTGCCGAAGGTGCCGGCAGGGATGAGATGGGACACAGAGGCGGGACCAGTGTGTCTACGATCACAGGGAATTGAGCCGCTCGACTGTGAGAAGTGAGTGTTAGCCAAACAGCGAATCCGCACTGGACATGTCTTACTCCAATCGATTGGTAGTCGGCTTTCACGCAGGTGAAAAAGCCAGCAAAAGGGATCCCTGCGAAATGGCTAGTGACTCGCCGTTGTTGCAATCGAGAAGAACAGTCTGGTCCTATGCAATGACCGATGGGCGCCTGTTGCTACCGCAATACATGACAAAAGCTGTGATAGCCTCATGACTGACTTCCTTCATACCCGAGAGCCTTCATTAAGCTGCTTGCGCTGCTAAGGTGAATCATAATGCCAGGAGCACTTTCTGAGATTACAGTCTTGTTCGTTTTACCGTTTCGATCGCGTGTGTGCTACAGCGAAGGACCTCAATTAATTATATCAAAATCCCCTACTCATGAGTATGTCAAAGAAATTCGCGCCATTGGACAGTTGGCAATTCAGTGTGTCGGGGTACGTCAGCACGTGAGCGCAGTTGCTCCTACTTTCGGACGTAACTAAGACAACGCCCTGTACTTGCCAGTTTACAAGAAGTAACCACGGAAACATCACGATAGAGTGTGAGCCTTAGATATTTCACATAGCCCATGTAAGGCTGGGGAAATTCTGCGAGAAATCGCAGACAATGACCGGTATGTGACTAGGAAAAAAACAACATTGCAATTTGATGCGCAAGCAGTGACAGGCGACGTGATTGTGACCACAACGAATTCGTCCAGATGGCTTTGCGAATTGGTTGAAGATTTCGTGGTCAGATGAACAATATCAAAGATAACAACAAAAACATTCCTCGAAGCATGCGCAGATGCAACGTAAGTGGACATCGTAAATGGCAATAGAATGGTTCACTGGAGAAGGCCACAAAATGTGGTGAGCAGCGGCAAAAAAAGGAGTAAAGGTGTTAGGGTCACGAGGAAGTAAAAGATGCGTAACAAGAGAGAGAGAGTACCAGAAGCGTAAGTGAGGATATAAAAAAACTCGATATGACTAATTCGAATAAAACGGCATACGGATCCGGTTGCAATCGAATTATACACGAAATATAAAAAGGACAGTGAAAAGTATGGTTGCGCATGAGACACGACATGATAAATGAGAGTAGACGAGGCGCACAAATACTAGACGGTGATAAAAAGCTCACCTCCACCAAAACATTGGGGGTATTCTGATCGGGGAAAGGGATTTCGCAGAGGAAGTAAGCCAAGTACCTAAGTGAGATGGAGAGCGATTCGTGATTAGATCAGTGGGAAACCTTGGTATCAAGAGTTTGCATTTAAGGATGAGTATGATACGTGTTTTTCCCATGAGCCGAGAAACCGTCTATAGCGGCACAGAGCAATAAGTAAAAAAAGCAACCATGGTCTCGCGTGGGCGATATGTATACGTGCAATATTGGAACATATAATTCACGTAACAGAGCGTATTGGGGGCTTGAGGCGAAAGCCAAGGCTCGGAAACCTGGGTGTTTATGCCTTTTAAGGTCCCACTTGAGATAGCTCATCGAGGGGCTGTTCCCAGCTGAATATAATCATGATTTTGCTCAGGGCAAGGTCACTTGCGAGCATGTCGCTAAATGTTGCCACATTTATACATGACCTGGGTGTGACTAGCAGTTTATTCCATAGATCTATATGAACAGGAAGAAATTTAAGCAAATGCATAATCTAGCCTGTGGTGTAATAAGCAGATAACCTTCGTTGCGAGACTCTCGAATTATGCTATGCTGCAACTCGAGTGTAACCAGATCGGAGTAGGTTTTTTCGTGCACCGGGTTGTAGAGCTGTATCCGTTTACGGTACAATGGTCATATCTAAAGTGGTTCGAAATGAATTTTGTAGCAACAGATGTTCGACTTCTTCCCGGTCATGGCAACGTTGAGGCTCAAGTCGCAAAAATGACTATTGGAATTGGGGCAACGCAACATGTCATCCAACCGACGCGCGTAACTCCGTACTCGGCATCTTGTCTGGACCTAATGTTTACGAGCTGCGAGCAAAAGCTAAAAGAGATCAGAGTCATCGAACCTCTGGCGAACAGTGACCACTGCTCTATTGTAGCTAGCTTAGAACTGTCGTTACCATATTACAATCAACAGAAGCCAACATTTAACTATTGGAAGACGGACTTCAACGGACTCGTCCAAGCCGCAAGTCAGACTGATTGGACACTGCCACATGATGCGTCACTTGAGGCGTGGTGGTCATTAATAAAGGGGAAGCTTAACTCGCTCTGTACTCGGTTCGTTCCCCTTAAGTATCCAAAAATCGGACCTGTCAAACCGCATTGGTTTGATAGGGAATACAGACAGTTAGCGCGACGACGTCGTAAACTTTGGGATAGATACATCAGCTCGGGTTGTGATGAAGATTACGCGGTGTACAGGAAACAGCGTAACTTATGTAACGCCGCAAAGATCAAGAAACGCCGGCAGTTCGAAGAGGAGCTAGCATCCTCGGCCACAACTGCACCCAAGCGAATATTTGCCTACTTGAAACGTCAACTGAAACCTGGAGACGACCTACCGGTCTTAGAGAGCTTAGACGGGAAGACACTCATTTCAAGCGCGGAGCGCGCGGACGCCCTGGCTACGCACTCCCTCACTGTATTTTCCAGTAAACCGGCGGCTGTTCCAGTACCAGCACAGGTTGCGCAAGTCTTGCTCGACAGCCTACAATGTGATGCAGTCGAAGTACATCAGCTACTCGTCAACCTCAATGGTGCAAAGCCCCCCGGGCCAGACGGACTTCACCCACTAATACTCAAGTCCCTATCGATTATCATCTCACCAGTTGTGACAAAGCTTTTCAATAGATCGCTCTCTGAAGGATCCGTCCCGAACGACTGGAAATGCTCGATAGTTAAACCGCTTCCCAAGGGTGGTGATCCGAGTAAAATAGAGAACTATAGACCGATCTGTTTGACTTCGGTATTATCCAAAGTTCTCGAGAAGGTTGTGAAAAAGTGTCTGCTGTCGTTCTTCGAATCGATGGACATATTGACGCCAGCGCAACACGGCTTTACGAAAAGGCGATCCTGCATCACCAACTTGATGTACGCAAACCACCAGTGGGTTCGAGCTCTCAATGAACAGAAGGATGTTGACGTGGTGTACATCGACTTTAGTAAGGCGTTTGACAGAGTGAACCACGAGGTACTCCTTCGTAAACTGAGGACATACGGAATCGGTGGCACGTTACTTCAGTGGATACAAGAGTTTAATGTGGGACGAAGGTTTAGAGTACAGGTCAATGACCATCTGACAGAATGGTTCCCATCAACCAGTGGCGTGCCTCAAGGAACTGTACTTGGACCAGCATTATTTCTTATTCATATCAACGATCTTCCGCAGCAGCTAGTCACCATGTGTCCTGTTTGCAGATGATTTGAAAATCTGGAGGATCATTGAAAACCAGGACGACTGCGCTCGCCTCCAGCGTGACTTACAACGACTGTCAACGTGGTCCACCGAAATGCAACTCCCTCTTAACGCAAGCAAGTCGGAGTTCATCAGTATCACCAGACGTCCAGCCACTCGATCATACATCTTGGACGGCCAGTTGCTCCATCCCAACACATCTGTCAGAGACTTAGGAGTTCTCTCACGACATGATTTAAGATCACTAGAAAATACAGAGAAATTGTACCGTGCGGGACTTCGTATGCTCTGGGCATTACGACGCAGTTTCTCCACATGGTCCGAAGAAACCGTCTCTCGTCTATTCACCTCGCTCAACACACCATACCTTGAATACGGTGCCCCAGCTTACCATCCGATAACCCAATGGGAAACTGAAAAACTGGAGAAAATACAGCATATCGCAAATAGAATGATACCAAGTCTACGAAAGCATCCATATGAAAAACGTTGTGAAAAGCTCGGACTCTACACACTATCCTATCGCCGAGTAAGAATTGATCTTATTATGACCCATCGAGTACTACACTTGAATCACTTCCCCATACTGCGGCCAATATTTCACCTGCGAGAACCCTGTAACACCCGAGGACATCGTTACAAACTCAGGGTCCCCAGCATGAACAAAGTATCACATCAGCTTTGTATCGAACGAAGAATCGTAAACTTATGGAATACACTACCAGAAGGATTAATAGACGCCGATTCTGTGAAGTGTTTTAAAACCCGTAACGACGATTATTTTGGAAACCTGTGCTTTTGTGAAACGATGCACATACAGTGCCAAAAGAAGACATTGTATGTCCGGAAATAATGACGCTAGTAAAATTTCTAACCGAACACGGATAAACGATTAACGGACCAGACACAACTGCTGATAATTCACAAGTAAATTTTGATTTTTCGTAATTCGATAGAGTTGTACAGAAACCTTTCTACTTGCCCTTAAATACAGTCTCAGTCTCAGTCTCAACACTAGCGACAATTCATGGCACAATGCATACCAATTAGATGGTTAATAAGCGACCTCCGGAGATGTTTTAAAGCAAGTATATTGCTCTTGTTCATATTACTGCATATGTTCCTGCAGTATTCGAGAACGTAGTAGGTGAGTAGCTTAAAAAGCCCAACTGTAGCATGGGTTGTATGGATTTTGTCATATATATATTAACCACAGATTGTCTAGCATGTGCTATTTGCTGCGGGGCCTGTTGTTGAAGCTAGATGGGTACCTGGTTCTGAGACAGCTGTATAAGAACATGCACGTAGTTCAGTATAATACAGCTTTGGAGATTAGAACAGACGCAAGACATGATGTTTGATTTTTATCCGAGAGGTTCATCATCTACGAGTGGCACCATGCCTCGACGGAATATAAGTCACCTTGAATCAAGAAAAGTGTTTCGTGAAGTTCATCACACCGAAGTATACCCGTGTCTGCAAACTGAAACTTCAGAGAAGAAGTCAATATTGTTTTCACAACGTTGGCGAATAGAAGCGGACTAAGGTGTTGTAAAAAATATTAGTTGTAGATGTTAGTGCCCGACGGTTCACCGAGCAAGATAGCTAATTTGTAAGCGTTTCAGTATCAGAATACGGAATATCATCAGTGAAATGGTAATGTCATTACCGCCGGAGTGTGTTTGCTTGACACTTTCAAAGGAACAATCTCATGAATGTAGGCGATTAGTTAGTTATGGAGATAACTATAGATTCCACTGTGTTTTGTTTTACAACATCCGTACCTTAAATTGAGTTTCATGGTTTCTGACGGCTCCAAGTTTATCCGGCGGTGCCGGATATGAACGAGTGACAATAAATTCCGCGAGTAGAAATCAGAACAGATGTTAAGAAACAAGCTCGTTTTCAGTGGTTCCTTACTGGTCTTCTGTAACACGGACGCAAGTGTGGACAACACCACACACACACACACTCTTGATCGCCGCGAGGCCAATCACCCAGACCATCTAGTCTTTTGATCCTGTACCCATTCTCTGATCTTCACATATATGTCATTCATTTGTGGTGAATTAGTCTGATAATGAGCCACTGAAAACGAGCTTGTTCGCTAACATTTGCTCAGATATGAACGAACCAGCATCAAGGCGAAGATGTGTAGGCGTTCAACCATCTGCTCCCTTCGCTTGCTTCGTCATTTTAATCCATCTCCTTCCTATGATCGCATAATCCCATCACATCTTTCACTTTCTGCTCATCAGCCGCATCGATGTTACTGAAGACTCCGTGCGTTTTTCCACTCCGCATGCAATTTTGTGCTGCTGTCCTTGTAACCTCACCGAAAACCGTCATGTGACTTACTTCGGTTTCTCATTAGCATTCTCGCTGTCGCCTCAACTGCATTCGGTCCTTTCTGATTATCATACCACCGGTTTTGGCTTTATGAGATCTTTCTCCCAACTTTGCGGTCATTACACCTTTCGTCCATCGCTCATTGACACCCGGTATCGGGGTTAAATCCACACTTCCTTATGTACTGATAGCTCAGTTAGTGCTCGCGTACCGCGGTCGTAATACCGTTCCTGATAAGCCATTTGTTTCCTTAAATGCCTTTGCAGTTGCTCATGCGACGGGCAAGACCGAGTGTAAAAGTGTATTAGGGTTCTTGTCCTCCTGCTGTACAGGTGTTACCCTGGGCTGAGACCGATGTGTGGTGTTACGAATCTCCAACAGCATCAGATATGGATTGTCATGAATGGCTCTGACTTTCGACAACAGCTTCTTGGTTTGTTTGACTACCGCCTCTGCTTTCCGTTAGACTGCCTATGATACGGG